ATTTATAAGTCAAAAATATTCGTTCAAATCCCGCTCGAGATGCCACTGGACTAGATGAATTGAATCACGTTTGGGCTGAATCAGCTCCTTTATGTTATAAACACTATTGCCGAATTACAACAAAATTAGGTGAAGGATATTATGGATATTTCACGAATAACTTTTTTATTTTTATTTCAACACCCTGTATCTTGAGAACGAAGGATTTGCGGTCCCATGTTTATATGAAAATTTCGTCTCAAAATTACCTAAAGAAACGTCTGTTAAATTTATGATACAAACTCAATTAACACCCTGTATATCAAGCTAAGAACGTTTCAATTATCTGAAAGGTAAAAGCACCAATCATATAATCATAATACATGAATCCAGAACTTCATACGTAACATAATTTTCTAAGATCTGACACTCTACTAGGGAACGCAAGTGGAGACGTCTTCTTTAGAGAAGGTGAATGTCAAAATATTTGGAGAAATGCTTCAAACAATTATTGATACCACTCTGCCGGGCTCGCTTCACTAAAACATCTGGTCAGACTGGAGTCCAAACAGCGTGGATCCCTTTCAGAAGGGATGCATCTCATAATTAGCATTATTCGTTGCGCTCAAAAATACTCGAAGGTATAACTATGGCACCTTCGGAAACCGGAGGCAAAAGGTCAACCATTTGATTTACATAGATGACCTCAAACTTTATGTATCTCCATCAATTTTTGACGGTGGAAGTATCTCGCATTGTCTGAATGCCGGAGAGACGTATACTTAATTAGGGTCGGAACAACACCACTCACAAGAGGTAACAGTAGTAAAGAACTCTTTCCGCGACAAGTATCACCACAAACTTCGAAAGTTGTGGTCATTGGAACTGTCGGAAAACAAAACTTGCTGCAACAAATATGCTTACAAATCCAATATAACTATTGGTTTGAAGTAAAAAATAGACTCCAATGGAGCTGTATCAAATCTCCGTCAAGACCCGTGAAATGGTAAACCTCCACAAGAGTTTGCAGCCCGAATTGCCAGTTGAACTTTGCTAGAAAAAAGGGCCGCCGTGGAGTTTGGAGGAGAGTCTACGTGACAGAATAGTACTGGACTTTGGGTACTTTCTCTCGGGGCAGCTGCGCGAGTAGCTGATGAACTAGGTTTAATTGTCGGCACTGAACGAGGTGATCACAACTTTATTACCGATTTGAAACTCGTTCAGCAAAAGGCCTATATGAAAGCTGCAGAGATCCCGTCACTCTTGTGGCAACACATGGATGAGTCAATGCATGGGATCTCCTTCAAATAGATTGAAGACTTTAGCTTCTCAAAGTGACTGACCTTCACTTTCCTCGAGTCGAGTGGGCTGAAGTCAAAAATTGAGTAGTTAATCATGGCCTGCCAGAATGGTGTCTTCAACGCTTTGGTCTATCGCAGTCACATGATTGATATAGATGTTCCTGGCACAAGGTGCAGGACCTGCCGCGAAACTCCTGAGACCTTCACACACTTGTCCAGCATATGCGGTCTCAGGCCATATCCATCGACATAACCACTTTTACAGTATTGAAGAGAGACCGGCGTTGCCCTATGTTCCGAGGGATATTAAATTCTTTGTGGAGAACGAGAAGTGCCAACTTTATTGAAACTTTTCGTTCCTATCCTCAAGCCCATATAAGTAAATGAGACTGATGTAGTCCTTCTCGACCACTCTTTCTGTTTTCGGAAGATCCTCAGTTCGTTTCATATGATGATGAAGAAGTAGAAGGACAAAACTTCAGTCCCCAAAACTTAGTCTCCTCTAAAATGTATCCCTGTCGAATATCTAATACTTAGCACAAAGTGCATTTCTCTGTTTATTTTTGTGTTTATTTTGCTTCAAGATAATTTTTTAACGAAAATTCGAACTTATACAAAGATTTCAAATATTTTGTGGTCATTAATTTTCAATAATTGTTTCTAGATGATTCAGACTTGCCACATTTTATTTCATTCCATTTTCAAAAACTACACCTGACGATTTGATCTCCACAAACTTTATTTGAAAAATATATCATAACATGTTTCGCTAAAACATTAGCTTTTTCAAGTGATTTATACTTCAAGTTGTTCTAAACATCAATAATTATACACTTCAGTTAACCATAATTGAGAATACCTCCAAAAAATTACCTGAACTTAACGTACCTGTTCAATTATGATCACCTGAAGCATGGTACCTAACATCTTCATCAATAATAATTCTTTCTCGGTTTTCAAGAAAACAAGTTCAATAATGGTGATTTATTCAAATCTAGTCGGTCATTCATTAGAATGTTTGAATTTTAAAGTTTATTAATTTCCATTGCTTCCAAATGATTCAATTCCAAACCTTTACTTTCTATGTGCAAAATTTCGAACTCTTCGTTGATGATATGACATATGATGTTCCTGGATTCGATTCCTAAATGTCCTGCCAGTTTGACCAATATACACCTTAGGGCACTTTCCACACTTTGATTTATATGCTCCTGATTTCTCGAGTTTGGATGTTTTGTCTTCATTATTTTTAACTACCTTTCCCAACGTATTACTTGTTCTATATGCAATTTTAATATCTCGTTTCCTCAAAAATGAAGCCACTTTTTTCGTCAGTTGTCCAAAATACGTTAAAGCTCTATAATTTTGATTATCTATCTTATCAATAGGAAAAACTTCTCGAATCGCTTTTGCGTAGACTTTCTTGGCAAGTATTTTGTTCATTAATTCGGCTTTTAACCCATTGTTAACCGCAATTTGCTTGATGATATTAAGTTCATCATCAAAATTATCTATTGAAAGAAGACATTGACTAATCTGTGAATCGTGCTATTATAAGCTGCTACTTTGTGTTGATAAGGATGGGTAGAATCGTAATGTATAGTAATATCCGTATAGGGCAGTTTCTGATAAATTGAAAAATCATGTTTGTTGTTCATTCTACTAATTGTTAGGTCCAAGAAATAGATTGAGTTGTCTGCTTCTATTTAGAAAGTGAATTTAATGTTTTCATTAATTTTGTTAATATCCCTATGAAAAGTATCTAATTGCCTCTTAGTACCTGTAAAGCATACCAAAACGTCAATCATATATCTTTGCCAATACAAGAAATTCTTAATCCAAGGATGTTTAAAGATCGACTTCTCTAGATTATCCATGAAAATTCAACAACACTATTTACTCCTCCTTAGAAGGTTTGATTATGGGAAATCCATTAAGCCCCTTACTTGCAGAAATATTCATGGATAATCTTGAGAAGTCGATTTTAAAACATCCTTTGATTAGGAATTTCTTGTATTGGCATAGATATGTGGATGCGTTTCAGTATGTTTTACATTACAGGTATTAAGAGGCAATTAGATACTTTTCATAGGGATATTAACAAAATTCATAAAAACATGAAATTCAGTATTGAAATAGAAGCTGACGACTCAATCAGTTTCTTGAACCTAACAAGTAGTAGAATGAACAACAAACATGATTTTTCAATTTATCACAAGCCGTCCTATACGAATATTACTATACATTACGATTCTACCCATCCATATCAACACAAAGTAGCAGCTTATAATAGCATGATTCACAGATTAGTCAATGTTCCTCTTTCAAGAGATAATTTCTATAAAGAACTTGATATCATCAAGCAAATTGCGGTTAATAATGGGTTTGAAGCCGAATTAATAAACAAAATACTTGCCAAGAAAGTCTACGCAAAAGCGATTCGAGACGTTTTCCTATTGATAAGGTAGATAATGAAAATTATAGAGCTTCGACGTATTTTTGACAACCAACGGAAAAAATGGCTTCATTTTTGAGGAAACGAGATATTAAAATTGCATATAGAACAAGTAATACGTTGGGAAAGTCAGTTAAAAATGATAAAGACAAAACATTCAAATTCGAGAAATCAGGAGTATATAAATTAAAGTATGGAACGTGCCATAAGATGTATATTGGTCAAACTGGCAGGACATTTCGGAATCGAATCCAGGAACATCATACGAGCTATATAAATGAGAAAACGAATTCAACATATTCAAATCATACTACGCAAAAGCGATTCGAGACGTTTTCCTATTGATAAGGTAGATAATGAAAATCATAGAGCTTTGACGTATTTTGGACAACCAACGGAAAAAATGGCTTCATTTTTGAGGAAACGAGATATTAAAATTGCATATAGAACAAGTAATACGTTGGGAAAGTTAGTTGAAAATGATAAAGACAAAACATTCAAATTCGAGAAATCAGGAGTATATAAATTAAAGTGTGGAACGTGCCCTAAGATGTATATTGGTCAAACTGGCAGGACATTTCGAAATCGAATCCAGGAACATCATACGAGCTATATAAATAAGAAAACAAATTCAACATATTCAAATCATTTTCTAGAAGAGGGTCATATCTTCAACGAAGAGTTCGAAATTTGGCACATAGAAAATGAAGGTTTGAAACTGAATCATTTAGAAGCAATGGAAATTAATAAACTTAAAAATTCAAATGTTCAACTTGATTCGAATAGATCACCATTATTGAATTTGTTTTCTTGAAAACAAATGAAGTTTGTGGAGATCAAATCGTCAGGTGAAGTTTTTGAAATTACTATGGATCTTCATCAAGTAACGGCCGAATCAATCAGAAAAAGAAAAAAATATATTTCATTCCAGTTTGACACACAACGAAATTGAAAATTCAATGAATTCTACTACATTTCATCTTCTGTAGTTTTTCTCAGAAGAGAATTGATTTTAAGAATTCAAATTGGAATAACATGACAGATGAAATTTTAACAATCAAATTCGATATTCAAAATAATTGTTTGAAGGTGGTTGACAATGTTTCGACATTATTCCATTGCGACAAATATACCGCAATGAAATGTGACTTTATTCAAAAAAAGAATAATGTGGATCTTCAGGTGACCGATAATTTACTATGAAATTCAACATTTATCGTATTCAAAGTCATGGAATTTGGAATAACATTATTATTATTTCACAGGTGGTATAGCTGCAGCGGTAGTTACAGTAATAGGCCGCCCCCTACCCACAATATCAGAAACCACCACTGCGTTCACAAACGTCTCTTCAAACAGCAGTCCAGAGAAAACCTCTTGCGCCAACGGCCTGGAAGCTGATCTACCAACGACGACAGACTGCAGTGTAACGTATCAACCGCAACACTACCCAATAAAACGGAAAGCTAAGGACGGCATGGACTCCAAACGAGAACGAAAAGCCGCGAAAACTCTTGCGATAATCACTGGTGCGTTCGTGCTGTGCTGGTTACCTTTTTTCATAATGGCAGTGCTGTTGCCAATCAACCCGAACTTGTTTGATAAATACTTAATATCGATTTGTTTGTGGTTGGGATATTTCAATTCGATGCTCAATCCGCTCATATATACAATTTTCAGTCCCGAATTTCGGCATGCATTCAAGAAGATTCTGTGCGGCAGAAATTATGCTAGGAGAAGAAACAGACATTTTGGTGTGAAAAATTTCCAATGATGGAGGCAGAGTGGTCGCTTACCTTCGGATAGCGAACCACCAGTAGCAGCAAGGTAAATATTGAAAATAATTTATAAGCATTGTTATGTAAAAGAAGGGCATTGGTAACATATTGATTAGATTGCAGTAGAGCTACATATATATTCCGGATGGGAACAGAGGAATTGCCTGAGTTCTGGTAAAAATATGCTTCAAATGATCCCACCGACGTCACTACCCTACTATTCAAATGACTGATATATTTTGCTCGTTTTCAAGTTAGGTTAGATTCAAAGTGAGTAGGTCTATTCAATCCTCCACCGCAACCCACAAGGATTCGTTGTAGTTCTCACCTATTCACACTCAACCAAATAAACCCAGCTTCTTAAGGAAGCCGATGAGTTTGTATGGTGAGTAGTCTTTCAGGTCAGATGGTAAGAGTACGGCTCTGCCGAACTCTAAAAACCTGGCTCGGTCCCCAGCAAGGCAGGCACAAAGTATATGCTCTGCTGTTTCATCGATATTGAGGTATTTCTTATTAGTCAGTGAGCTACGCTTAAGACTGGCAGTGAACAAATATATAGAAATTCCTCAGAAAATCCTCACTGTATGATAGCAGAATACACGCAATACCCTCAAAAGGTTAATGATTGGGCAGGGATTGTAGAAAACCATTGTTCCTTTTTTTATTGAGGACAACTTGAATAGCGACAATTATTTGGCACTACTTCAAAATGATGTCATGATCCAGGAAATCCTCAGGTTTCAGCGGAAAAGATATGATTTCAGCAGAATGGAGAACCAAGCTAATGTTCGGCAATACCTCGATACAACATGTCCCAATCGGTGGATAGTGAGGCGAGGATCTTTCATCATTAGATTTCTTTTTATGGTGATATGTAAAGAACAATGTGTGAAAAACCAAATCTTCAGATTTGAATTACTTGAAAGAACGAATAACGCTTGCGATTAGGTCGGTCACGCCTGATATGTTAAATAATGTTAGAAGGCAGTTTTATTTGCGATAAGGAAGTTGCCAAGACGTTTGCCGTGAACATTTTAAACATCTACTTCGTTAACATCAATATTTCTCTTCAGTTGAATTGAAGAGGTTATATTTTAAGGAGTGATTAATTTTTGGGAAAGGAAGTTTTTGGCTTTCTACTACTCCATCTTGATACAAAAAAAGGATGAGGGAATCTTCCAAAGAAAGAAAGNACCCTGCACGAATTGATGATGCGGTTTCTTAAGTGCTCTACATCGCGAAGAGGAGTACGATAAATCAAATGCTGTAAATGGTCCCGAATAGAGAAATCGAGAGGATTGAGATCCAGGGATCGAGCGGGCCAGTTCTGTGGTTCTCCTTGATCTATCCACTGATTTGCATATGTTTCAGTTAGATGCTGACGTGCTATTTGACTGAAATGGGCGAGAGCCCCATCATGACGCCCAAAGGAACTTCCTCCAGCAGTACTGAATGCACAATAGCGTGAGGGTTTTCATCAGCCCATATGTGGTAATCATGAAAATTATTAATCTTGTCCCGAGAAAAACTACATTCGTCTGTGACTTATATCGTCTTCAGAGTTGTTCCTTTAAAATTCGAAATACCGTCATATGATAAACATTTAGCTGGAAAGCAATCTTTCTAGTACTGGTAGTAGGTTGTTCTTCAATCAAATTAAGTACTGCTTCCTCAAGCTGTGGTGTTCGTACTTCTCGATGGCGACCACAACCGTGCGTTCTTTTGACGAATGAAGTCGAGCAAATATTCTATGTGAAGGATGCTGCCGTTGAGGATACATTTCAGCATATCT